ATCATCAGCATACAGTCAAATATACAACACAGTATCATCAGCATACAATATGAGGTCATCCCAGGTGATGGATCATATATGTAAATGTTAAAGAGCAGAGGTCCTAACTCTAAACTCTGTGGCACTCCTGCTGTGGCTGTAGATGGTGTGTTATTGACCCATGCACTGGTTTCCAGTGCTCAGACGGAACTTTATCCCGTTTTGCATTTAATTATAAATGTGTCATTATGCTTATAAGTTACTACGACCAACTATGTCAAACCAAAGACTCTCTCCCTCCCTCTCAGTTTGGCTTAAAGAATAAACAACAACAAGGTGTGTCAGCTGAGTGTCCATTCCTAACCCCCAAGTCCTTCTTGGGGCAGAAGAAAGTCAGACACTAACTTGAGTCAGGAGAAGAGTGCCCACCTGATCCTGCAGATCAGCTCACCTGTGCTGCCTGAAGTCTGTCCTCAGCATCAGTCCGGCTGCTCAAACAAATAAGCTGTTGGTGGAGGTCCTGGATCCACATATCGGTCTCCTGCTGCCGGGAATCAAACTCTGTCATCTAAAAACAGCACGGTTCAGTCAGAGGAGGGATGAAGTGATCTACAGGTAAGTCCTACAGGTCACCACAGAAACCCACCTCCAACAGCCTCCTCTCTGACTCCTGGAGGATCTCTGCAGCCGCAGCAGCCTCCACCTCATGAACAGTTAGCATTAGCATCTTCCACTGCTCCTCCATGTCTTTAACTGTCTGCTGAACCTTCAGCCTCACGCTCTCATCAGCATCCTGATGGTCACACAGAGTCTGACCCCGCCTCCTCAGGTTGTTCACCAGGACGTCCCCCTCAGGTCTGCTGCTCAACACGCTCTGAGAGGAGAAGGTTTCACATCAAACACTGAAAAACAGCCGAAGACGTGATTTTATCCGAGAGGACAAGGGGCAGAACCATCTATGTGCAGATCTGATGAGAAAATTAATAAAAATGTCCGATTTGAACAAACCTGAGCTGTGCGACGTCTCTCTTCAGGTGGTGCAGGTCCCCTCACATGCTGCAGTCTCTGGTGTCTCTCTCTGATCCAGGTTTCAGTGTTTTTACTCTGAGAATCAAAGTCCTCTGAGAGACTTCGGAGTTCTGCTCGTCGAGCCGCTTGAAGAACCGTTCTCCACAGCTGTTCCGTACAGGAAACCAGCTGTTCCACGTCCTGCTTCCTGTCCTCCCTCAGTGTCTCACACAGACACTTCGCCTGCACCTTCAGGTGGACAAGCTGAGATTCTCCGTCAGATGCAGATCTCAGGACACCCTGGACACAAGGACAAGTGGGACACTGATGTCCAACATTGTTCCAAAAATAATAAGAAAAAGATGCTGAGTTCAGGAACCAGAGGTTCATGTTCCCAGGAAGGAGACCCACCAGACCCGCCTGACCCTCTGATCCACCTGACCTTCTCACCCATTTGACCCCCAGATCCACCTGACTCTCTGACCCACCTGTATCGTGTGAAACCGGTCTTCAAACTGCATCTGAGCACCAAGGTCCAACAGTTTCTGCTTCTGCTCCTTGATCCAAGACTTGAAGATCTGATTCTGGTTTTTGAAATCGTCCAAGTCCCTCTCAGAGGCAGCCTGACTCTCAGCCTGGTTCAGAACCTCCTCGGCAGTCTGGAACACGTTCCACCACTCGTCCTGCGTGTTCCTGACAGCATCCAGAACCTCCTGCCTCTGGCCTTCTCTCAGCTCCTGGTTTTCACTCAGACTCTGACCCTGGTCCTTCAGATCCTGAAGCCTGGACTCTCCTTCGGACCTGGAGCTCAGAACCACCTGGGGACATGAGAGCAGTGGCAGTTTCAGATATGGACGATGTCGGCAGCTGCCCAGGGCGGCACAAGCTCTTCCCCTCCAAAATGTATTTATTTTTTTTCATGTAGCCTGTCGAGCCTACGGTACATATCAGTTTCCCATCACCCACATGCAGGGCGTGCAGCTTTTGCTGACATCTGACAAACAGGCTGTGGGGGGGATGTCTCTCAACTCCCTTGCTGGTCCAGGGTTGCATCTAATACAATTACTGTAGTTCACCAAGTAAATCACATTGTTGATTGCTGCCAAACAACGTGCACTTCATTCATAATGTGAATATGGCCAGAAGTTCTCAGCTTATTTCTGTGAAATCGTGCACACACCAAGTACGGTGAACTAGTTTAGGACTAAGTTGTTTTGACTCATGTTGGGGGAGTGCCAATTACACATATGGAAGATGGACCAGAGCAGGTCAAATCCATCAGGCGCCCAGTTGAGGAAAAGATAAAGGTCTGCAGCTGTGTCATCTCTTGGAGCATGAAAGCTGTTACATTGTAGCTATAGCAGGATAGGCTTAATTAATATTAATTAATAACATAAGACAGTAACTGCTGTTTACGTTCAGCTGCTTAGGACAACATATTTGGTTTTCAGCAGAAAATATCATTTTGAAGATTGAAATTCTTCTAAATCCAACCAACTACACATGGTAAAGTGATATTGGACTATACAATCTCTAAAGACGTTGATCCTGTGATGTAGCTTGGACTGTGTTAAATAGAAATCAACTGGAAGATGATTTGTTTCCTATTCTGAATAGTTCACTAATCCAATCCAGCTTTATTTATAACGCACTTTAAAAAACAAACAGGACCAAAGTGCTGTACAGAAATTAAAAAGTACAAAAGAAATAAAATACAAAAAATAATAATAATTAAAAAAGACAAACAGCATTGCAATATAAATTGAAAGGAGACTCAAATAAATAATAATAAAATCAACATCTAACAAGGTGTCAAAAGCCTTGGGGGAAAAAAAAAAGGTTTTTAAACTTTTTTTTTTTAATCCCACTAATTGGACATATGTTGTTTTGTCTTAGTTGTTAGCCGTTTACTGCGTCAGTATGAACCGTACAGCTGCTGAGCAGATTTCATGACACGATTCATGACTTTTCATCAAGACAAGTCAATATTTAGGTGGTAGTTGTGCAGTTTAATCTGTATTTCTTCTTTGACAGTAATAGTGTAGATTCACTTATTGAAAGAAGGGTAAGACTTTACATGACAGTTGTGTAATTTAGTTTGTGTTTCTTGAAGTGCCACAGTGTAAATCGTCTTATTCAGAGAAAGTTCAGATCTTCCTGAGAGCTGTGCCGAGAAAATTGTGTTTTGATCAAAGTGCAATTGTTGTACAGATTTTCTTAAGTGTTCTATTGGTGCAATTTATAAATGACTTATTTTAATTGTTTATTTTCCACAGTATGTGTTTATTTTATTTGTATTGTGCACTTTTAAATTCATGGTGTACAGTATTTGTGTCTTTGTGTGTTTGTAGTATTATTCTACTTTCTTCAGTTTCAAGTTTTATAATAAAATATTCAAAGACATTCAGAGTGCGTCTGTGATGGGACATGGTAATCTAAATGACGTCCGTGCACCCGGGGGTAGGGTGCCAGGTTGTTTGCCCAGGGCACCAAACAGGCTAGGACCGCCCCTGCATGAGGGGATGGCTCTTGAGGAGCTGTTCCTGCACATTAAAGCTGGTCAGTCAGTCAGTGACCCACCTGGATGACCTCCAGCTTCTCCTCCACCTGCATGTGGTCACCAAGAGAGGCCAGAACATTGTTCTGCTCTCGGATCCAGGACTCAACACTTTCATTCTGGGTCTGGAAAGCATCAAACTGTTTGTTCAGTAGAAGCTGGGTCTCAGCCGAACTGAGAGCATCCTCAGCAGCCTGCAGGACCGTCCTCCACTCCATCTCTGTGTCTCTGAGGACCAGCCCAACCTCCTGTTTCCTGCTGTCCTCCAGGTCCTCCTGCTCACACAGATGGTCCACCCCAGCCCTCAGGTCCTGGACTTTGGATTCTCCCTCAGGTTTGGACTTCAGGACGCTCTGTTGAAGAGAGAAAGAGAAGTTTGGCTGAGTTGTTGCAGACGTCTGGAACTGATCCAGTTTAGTTTCTGAGACTCAAAGTTGAGAAATGTGAGACAACTTTGTGAGGGAGGGTGTCGGTGACTGAAGAACCCAAACTGATTCGAGATAAAACGATTCAACTGATTCAATTCAAACTGAATTCTTTGAACAAATAAAATGTCAGTAATTTGGATTCTGTCCCAGTTTGTCCACAGTCAAATGGGTCAGAAGTACCACTTTTTTCTCAGTTTGTGTCTCCAGGAAGTGGCAGCTCAGTGAGATCCAGACCTTCAGCTCTCACATCCAGTAGCTGGTAAAATTTAATCTTTTTATTTAAAATCAAATCATTAATCCCTTTTTTTAAATGTCTGTCAGAGAGATGTGATTTAAATCTCATTTCAAAGAGAAGAAAAAAAAAGAATGAAGGAGATAAAATGTTAAAATATTCTCCTGCCACTCTTCGATGAGCTCAGATGGAAAGTCATTCACTGACCAGAGCTTTGGCCTTCATCTCCTCCACCTCAGCGCCGGACACAGCAGAGCTGAGTGGTTCTGACAAGCCCCTGATCCAGGTCCTGGTCTCGTCTGCTTGGGATTTCCACCTGATGAATTCTTCCTGCAGGACACTCCGGGCCCGGCTCTCCAGGTTTCTGATGCGCTGCAGCAGGTTGTCCCCGTCCTTCAGGATGTTCTCTGCTCTCACTCCTTGTCTGCGGATCGAAGCCAAGAGCTCAGAGAGCGCCTCGGCCCGACCGCTGACGTGTGAAGAGAAACAAGAACATCAAGCAGAATCATAAGCTGTTCACCGCAGGCCCGCATCAAAGCATCAACAACTGAAGAGGTAACCACGTTCAAGATGGTCGACAGTTAATCAAACTTAAAGATGTCAGTTCACAGAATTCTGGTGTGGTAGTACCTGAGAGTTGTCCATTTTGTTTAAATCTTTGGCATGCAAGGAGGCGGGTGATATGCATTACTTCAACAGACTTTTTTCTGTATCAGTCAATACGTTGGAGGTTTAACTCGTATCATGGGATGAAAAACTGGGTCCATCAGAACCAGAACAGATTTTATCAATATTTAAAGAAATATTATTTTATCCCAAACCTGAATGAAGGCCACCTTTATTGATATTGAAGTTATTTTGCTAATAGTTGTAACGTTTCACTTTAAACTCACAGCCAAGATCCAAAAACTCTGAATCGGATAAACTAACGGTGAAGTCTGAGTCGTGGAAGCAACAGGACATTAGAGTGAAACTCCTTTGTCGTTTTTAGTGTTGGACGCCCCGGGTTAGGGAGGCTGTCACGCGAAGGAGGAGTCCTATCGGTCCTTGTTGGCTGATAGGACTCCAGAGGCAGCTGAGGAGTACCGGAGGGCCAAACGTCCGCAGTCTTTGCTGTTGCTGAAGAAAAAGCTCTGCTGTGGGAGGAGTTCGGTGACACCTCGAATAGAGACTCTTGGTTGGCTCTGAGAAGATTCTGGTAAACCATCAGACGGCTGAAGAGTGGAAAGCAGTGTTCAGTGAAGGTAGGGTGCTATTGACCTCAACCAGTGATGTCATCAGGAGGTAGAAGAAATACTTCTCTGACCTTCTCCATCCCACTGACACGTCTTCCATGGAGGAAGCGGAGTCAGGGGACTTTGGGGTTGATCTGTCCACAACTGTGGCCGAGGTCACGAGGTAGTTAAAAAGCTCTGAGGCAGCAGGGCTCTGGGGTTGGATGAGATCTGTCCTAATTTCCTTAAGGCTCTGAATATTGTGGGACTGTCTTGGTTGACACACCTTTGCAACATTGCGTGGACATTGGGAGCATAACTTTTATGGACAGAATTTCTCGGTGCATCCAGGGGGTGCAGGGAGTCTGGTTCGGTGGCCTCAGGATTCCATCTCTACTCTTTGCAGATGATCCTGTTAGTATTGATGTGCTGTGATTCTTAGATCTCACTGGAGCAGTTCGCAGCCGAGTGTGAAGCGGCTGGGATGAGAATCAGCACCTCCAAATTGGAGGCCATGGTCCTCAGTCAGAAAAGGGTGGATTGCTCTCTTTGGGTCAATGTTGAGGGTCTGCCTCAAGTGGAAGAGTTCAAGTATCTCGGGGTTTTTTTTCATGAGTGCGGGAAGAATGGAGTGTGAGATTGACAGATGGATTGGTGCAGCATCTGCAGTATTGCGGACTCTGTGCCCATCCATTGTGGTTAAGAGAGAGCTGAGCTGTAAGGCAAAGACATCTGTTTACTGGTCGGTCTATGTTCCTACCCTCACCTATGGCCATGAACTCTGGGTAGTGGGGGCCAAGATGGGGTAAAGGTAGGGCAGCCGACTTGGGACCAGAAAGTCACGATTCGACTCCCAGCCATTCTCACTTGTCATGGTGTCTCTGAGCAAAACACCTAATCCTTAACTGCTCCCTGGGCACTTGCATAGCTGCCCACTGCTTCACCTGGGTGTATCTCAGGTGTGATGGGTTAAATGCAGAGAACTAAGTTTGCTATTGTATGGAACATACAATGATGACAATCTCAGACTTCCCTTCCCTAGTGACTGAAAGAACGAGATCATGCATACCGGCAGTTGAAATTAGTTTCCTCCGCAGGGTATCTGGACTCTCCTTTAGACATAGGGTGAGAAGTTCAGAACAGCTGCTCCTCCACACTGAGAGGAGCCACTCGAGATGCTTTAGGCATGGCTGACTGGGAGAAGACCCCAGGGAAAACCTAAGACACGCTGGAGAGACTATGTCTCTCAGTTGGCCTGGAAACATCTTGCAGTCCTCCAGAAGAGCTGGAAGAGGTGGCTGTGGAAATGGATGTCTGGGCCTCCCTGATGAAACTGCTGCCCCAGCAACCTGACTCCAGAACAAGCGGAAGATAACGGAAGGATGGAACACCTCCTCGCTGTACAAGTGAGCATTACTTGTACTCAAAAAGTACACCTAAGCAGTACTTGTACTCAGAAAGTACACCTAAGCAGTACTTGTACTCAGAAAGTACATGTGAGCAGTACTTGTACTCAGAAAGTACA